AAACTTGCACAAAGCAAGAGGGGACCCAGGGGTCACCTCCATTGGACCCCCTTGCGCCCCTGCAGGGTTTCCCAGGGCCCTTAGACCGTTATCGCTAAGGGTAAGCCCAGGCAGGGTACTACTAACCGGCGCCCAAGTCTACCAAACAAACTTCTAAAACTGAACCCACGGGACGTGTTCACTCATGGGGCCCAAGAAGGGGGTACCACCGAACACAGGAGGTCAAGGAGGTCAAGATCCTAAAAAACAGAGGGCAGGGGAACAAAAGCAGACCACCCCCCCCCCCCCTACACCAGGCAGAAACAAAAATAAAAAGAAAAACCCCGCAAGTGGACAACGTACCCAGGAGGAAGAGAGCCAGCCGCTATAATAGGTGAAAACCAGCTGCACAGTACCCCTACCGGGGCCTACCGGGGACCACGAGCCAGAACCTGGCCCCCTCAGAGAGGCACGTAACAGCAAGAGTTGCTGTTATGGTGACAGATGGTGCCGTTTCTTAAAAAAAAAAAAAAAAAAAAAAGTTTTTACCCGTCACAAAAGTGGCAACAAATACTTATATTTACGAAATGAACGGTATGGTAAACAACACAACTCAATTCCAGCACAATGTCATACAAAATAATTATATCAAAATGGAAATAAATCAAAATCTATGAAAATTCAATTTATTAATGCAATCGGAAACAATGAAATGGAATCATAACATATTTAGTATAGCAAGTGTTGTTATGTGCAATAGATGGCGCTGTTTTTCAAAAAAGCATGTTTTTTATCTGTCACAGGTGTGACATCTATATAGTATGTATATAAAAACCCGCTCGGATGCGAATGGAACGTTGTGTGAAAATTTCAAAACAATCGGTGAAAAACTTACGGAGATTAGCGATTTTGAACAAACGAACGTTTACATTTTTATTTATATAGATTACAACATATTAAATGTGTTTTTCAACAATAGCTGCATATTAGTTTCTGCAAATGTATTTTCTATCATTAGCAGAGAAAAGGTGAACTCGCAAGATTTCGTATTGGCTAGCTCTAGGTTAGTGTCAAGGCTCGATCGCCATTGCATGGCCTAACCCCCATAGCCTGTGTCATAACATTATAAATAACAAAAATATATTACCTGTACTGTACAGGGTAAAACAAAACATCTCTAATTTTTATTGAGAAAACACTAGCAATCATTTATTGATAGACACGAAATATTTCGCAATATAAAGGAATTAACTAATTTTTTTCCACCCATCTGGACTTGATCAGACCGTGTTCACAAATCAGCCCTGCAGTAGCCAACAGCTGGCTTATTCATCAGCGTGTCACTAACTTGGAACGCAATTATAAACTGGAATTTATATAATTTTCGTTATATAAAACATACCTTAGGGACCTGAATGTTACTTGAAATATTACCAACATTTCAACAACTCCGGATTTAGGTGAACCCCCACATTTAACAACCTGGGAACAGCCCCATATAGGCCATTAAATCGAGTGGATACTGTACTGTACCTTAAAAACCTGCAAGATTTTAAATATAAATACAGTACAATACTGTACATTGTCAAAATTGTTTAACTTCCGAGACAAATACAATATAAAATACTTAAAGTAGTACAGAGCACCACTTGGTTTCCGAACTTTAGTTATCCGAAACTTCCAGTTTCCCGATTGGGGTTGGGGAGTCATGCTACCCGAACAAAGTTCGGGTAGGAAGGGTCCACCAAGCGTCACGCCGGCTTGTGGTGGTGGGTGGGAGATGGTCCAGGCTGCTCACTGTGACTTCACAGATTCACGGCCTATTATTCCTATTACAGTATTTTGAATTGCCATAAGGCTGGAATGTTCATTCTGTGCTTTTGTTTTACATATCTGCACAATCAAGAAACATCTGTGCACCATGTTGGCTCCAAATGGACGCATTGCGTCATTGATGGCTGACTGGTGGGTGGATGGACGATGGAGCTTAGGTGGGAGGCAGTATGAGAGGGGGGGGGGGGGAGAATCAGTGAGAGAGGGGGATAATTAGTCAGAAAGGGAGGGAGAGAGAGATGCTAGGAGGGAGGGGGAGGTAGGGAGAGATGTTAGGAGGTAGGGAGAGATGCTAAGAGGGAGGGGGAGGTAGGGAGAGATGTTAGGAGGTAGGGAGAGATGCTAAGAAAGAGGGGGAGGAAGGGAGAGATGTTAGGAGGTAGGGAGAGATGCTAAGAGGGAGGGGGAGGTAGGGAGAGATGTTAGGAGGTAGGGAGAGATGCTAAGAGGGAGGGGGAGGTAGGGAGAGATGTTAGGAGGTAGGGAGAGATGCTAAGAGGGAGGGGGAGGTAGGGAGAGATGTTAGGAGGTAGGGAGAGATGCTAAGAGGGAGGGGGAGGTAGGGAGAGATGCTAAGAGGGAGGGGGAGGTAGGGAGAGATGCTAAGAGGGAGGGGGAGGTAGGGAGAGATGTTAGGAGGTAGGGAGAGATGCTAAGAGGGAGGGGGAGGTAGGGAGAGATGTTAGGAGGTAGGCAGGAAGGGACGGAAGTAGTGAGAATTAGGGAGGGAAAGGCAAGCTGGCAGGCACAGGCAGACAGGCACAGGCAGACAGGCACAGGCAGACAGGCACAGGCAGACAGGCACAGGCAGACAGGCACAGGCAGACAGGCACAGGCAGACAGGCAAGCAGGCTGGGAAGGAGGCAGGCAGGCAGGCTCGGGTAAGGAAGCGGTCAGCCAAGCGTCGTGCCGGCCCGTGGTGGGTGGGTGGGGTGGTGGGTGATGGTTTAGTTTGCTCACTGACCGTGTCGGGCGCCGCCTGCTACCCTGTGATGTCACAGACTCACGGCCTATTGTTCCCATTGTTTGAATTTGTCACGAGACTGGAGTGTTCATTCCGTGACTTTGTTTTACATATCAGCACAATCAAGGAACATCCGTGCACCATGTCGGCTCCAAATGCACGCATTGTGTCAGTGAAAGCATCTACAAGCGGGTTACGTAAAAGAAAGAGGTCAGTGATGACATTTGAAAAGAAAGTTGAAATAATTAAGAAGGTGGAAAGCGGTGTCCCGAGAAGTGTCGTGTGCGCTGAGTATGGCATTAGTAAAAGTACTGTTTTTGATCTTCTTAAGGCTAAACCTATCATTTTTGACTATTTCTCTAGAAGTGAAAGTGATAAAGCAATACGAAATAGAAAGGTAGTAAGTAAAGCAAAAGTGGAGAGTGTTGATAACGCAGTGTGGGAGTGGTACAAACAGAGACGTAAAGTGACGAAGAAGCCAGTGGCAGGCTGGCTCCTCGTGGAAAAGGCGCGTGAATTTCACCAAGCAATGAAAATTACTCAAAAGTGTGTATACAGTGATGGTTGGCTCAGAAGTTTTAAAACCCGTCATGGCATTAGGTTTATTAAAGTGCATGGTGAAAGACAATCTGCTGATATTGTTGGTGCTGATGAGTATGTGAGTAAATTTGCGGAGATGGTGCAGGAACAAAATTTATCTCCAGAGCAAATTTATAATGCTGATGAGACAGGTTTGTACTGGCGTATGCTTCCCACAGAAACGATGGCTCATAGTGGTGAGGACGATCCTTCAGGTGGTTATAAACAGAACAAACAGAATTTCTTTGTTGTGCTGTGCAAATGCAGCTGGCACGCACAAATTAAAGTTACTTGTGATTGGAATTAGTAAAAACCCCAGGGCTTTAAAGTCAGCCAGGTGCCTCCCTGTGATTTATAAGGACCAGCCAAGTGCGTGGATGTCTCGAGTAATATTTGTCGAGTGGTTTAATAAGAACTTTGTACCCGAGGTGAAGGAGCACCTGAAAAGTGTTGGTCTCCCGCAAAACAGCAAAGTTGTGCTGCTGCTAGATAACAGTTCAACGCATCCACGAGGTGATGAGCTTATAAATGGCAATATTATTGGAACGTTCTTGCCACCCAATACAACCTCAGTGATCCAACCCATGGATCAAGGAATAATTAAGAACCTTAAACACCACTACAAGAGGATGTTTGCCAGACGTCTTAACAATCAGCTTGGAACACTTAAGGACTTTTATAAAGTCTTCACAATAAAGTCAGCTATCTGGACTATTGCTAGTGCGTGGGACGAGGTAAAGCAGACAACACTAAGAAATGGTTGGAAAAAACTTTGGCCCGCGTCAAGTCTGTTTCCTGAGGAAGATGACGAGGCAGATTTTGAAGGATTTGCGGTGAAGAAAGTTAGCGAGAAGAAAAAATTAAGAGGAACTCCTAGCCTATGTCAAGGGGATTAAGTCCCCTGAGATTAGAGCAGAACTGGTGACTGAAACAATCGAAGATGACATAGATAGATGGATAGATTTTGATGAAGAAGCCCCAAACAATCGAAACATGACTAATGATGAAATTATAGAATTAGTATGTACAGCAAAAAAGCCAGACGAGTGCAATGAAGAAGATGGAGAGGAAGAGGAAGAGGATGAAGAAACGTTAAAGGAAAAATGTGATATGGAAAAAGTTCAGCAAAATTTTGAATACATTCTGGCATTTATGGACACGAGTTACAGCGAGTTTGAAACTAAGAGCCAAGGGAATGAAACAAATGTCAATTACAGAGTCTTTTGCAATGGCTTCTAAGAAAGCTCGCATTGCATCACCAGCACCTGACTCATCGCATGTTGACCCAGTCAACCCAACAACTTCAGTCAATCCAACACCATCAACATCCACCACCACCTCTTCCATGTAAATAACTGTGCTTCATCAACATCGATCATCAACATAAGCGGATCAGGACTTCAATTATTGGTGAGTACAAACAAAATACGGTCACGCATTTACGCTATGAACCTGTCGATTTGTTCCCCTAGATTTGTTTCAAATTATTTTTTTATTTTTTCCTCCATTTCTCGTATACGAACTTACATGTTAACCGACGGGTCTCGTCCCCAACGGGTTCGGAAACCAAGTGGTGCTCTGTAAATACCTGAACCTAAGAATTAAGTAAAACAGATGATGTCCTCTTTAACCATGACAAACTCACCTGCCGAGCCTTGTGATTCATTGGTATTTTGTTGCGCTTCATGACACTGACAGCTCTTGAATCAGGTCCAAGTCCAACATGCCATGAGCCAATGGCACCAGAATCTACTTCCCAATCTGTGTGACCTCGTTCCTTCAGCACATGGTTAAATACAGCCTCTGCTATAGGTGAGCGGCAGATATTTCCTGTTGAAGATTGACAGAAATAATTCTAGCATCATCCATCCTTAGCTAACCCTTCCTTACATTTTCCTAGATCCGATTTGAATACTTAACCCCTGGGCTCCAGAGCTGTTAATAGCTGACAACCTCCCAAAGCACAAGATAAAAAACTACCATTAAATGTAATGAAATTCCAATTTCTGGGTAGGCCCCAGAGGCTCCCTGAAGCTATTACACTAATTCAATGCCATACTACTAGGTGCCATCAGTTGCAGAGTTCTTGAAGGCTTACTGAAGACCATGAGCCAGAACCTGGCTCCCTTCTAGAAGCAAAAAGAGTGGTGGCACTATGAAAACCTCACAATTAAAGTTATTCGTGTTTGCCACCACTAGGAACAGCACCCAGAAATTCAACAAAAACGAAAGAAACCATTGCATGGTTAGAAACAAGAACTCAACCTCAAAACTGCCAAAAGAACTCCCCCAACAACTTACACATTAGAGGAAGGGGAAGTAAAGGACAAAGGGAAAGGGAACACGTTCCTGAAAATTGTATATACCAACATAGATGGAGCGAGATAAAAAATATCTATAAAAAATACCTAATTTATGTGAACGACGTACCCGAGGGAGTTGGCTCGGACAAGTCAATGTTTGCAGATGATGTAAGGCTGATAAGGAATGTGAAAACAGATGAAAACTGCAGAAAGTTACAGGAGGACCTTGACAAACCCCAGGAGTGGTCAGATAAATGGCGGCTGGAGTTCAGTCCCAACAAGTGTAAGGTAACAAGGATTGGAAAGGAAGAGAGGAGACCAGAAGGCACAACCCCATATAAGCCATACCATACGGGAAAGACAGCAACAAGAATCATTAAGATAGAAAGATCTGGAAGTGGATATGATTCAGACACTCACACTGGAGACAAACAGGACAACATCGGCAGGATGTGGTACAATTGCAATTATAAGATCCTTGTTTAGGAACCTAAATCAGGATCTTTAATGTAATCTACACATTTGTTCAACCAATAATAATAATAACAATAATAATAACAATAATAATAATAATAATAACAATAATAACAATAATAATAATAATTAATAATAATAATAATAATAATCTTTATTCAAAAGAATGTGTGTACAAAGAACATAAGAGTAATGTACAATTGCAGGGATAGGCATTACACATGCTAATGAAACCTGCTAATTTACACAAAGCGTTTCGAACAAAACAAAATAAATATAAACAATTTCACAGTGTGAGGGGGGGTACCAAACACTTAATACCAAGGGAGAAATAAGTTAACAAAATGGAAACATTCATGGAAAATAACAAATGAATGCAAAAAGGTGATAATTAAGGATGACAGGCATAGACTATTACAACATGGAATCAATAGATGTAGCAATAGTACAGTACAGTACTGTAGAAGCTAGCTAATCAGGGACCAGCCAATCCGGAAAACGCCCTAATCCGGCAAAAATCGTAACCAGATAAAGTTAATCTTCCTATCCGGCCAAAATGTCCATAGAAGTCGGACTGGTGGATATTTGCCGGATCAGCGTATACCGTTAGAGTTCAAATCTGACTCGATTACCTTGTTACCAATGTTGCCCAACCCGGACAGTAAGCCAGACAAGCGGAGATTATTCTGAATCAGAAAGGCAGGCATCAGGCCGTACTGTATTAATCCTGTAAGGTTGTGGCTCGAGGCGAATGTTGTAGGAGGGGATGTGGTGTCAGGAAAGGGAAGCATTGGGAGGGACTGCCTGGGGGATAAAGAGCCTTTACAGTACAGTAATTACCAATAATTTTAGAACAATTCATTACAGTCAAAAGCAAAAGAAATACAGTATCATATAATACTGTATTATAACAAATATACAAGTTTTCTAAAAACAATTTGCACAGGCTGAAGTTTGCTCCAAAAAATATTGGGAATTTTTTTTCGCCTGGCGACCTACGTAACGTGCCTGCCTGCCCCAAGTGGCCCCCGTTCAGGCCAGGTCAAGCCAAAAAGCCCTTGTGCTGCCGACCCTCGTGTTATACCACAGTGCCGCCATTAGTGAAATATTTTTTTAAATAACTTTTTTGTTTTCATAGTAACTTTGAATATTTTTGGCGAAGACTATGTCGGGTAGCAGCATCAATCGTTCTGGAGGTGTTAAGAGGAAGGTGGTTACCCCTAACAATTAAAGGCAAGATACGTGTCATAACTTTGTGAAAGTGGCCGGTCGACTTCAAGTGTTGCCAAGGACTTTAATATAAGCACTAATACCATTTCCTATATAAGGAAACAAAAAGAGCAATACCTGAAATACATTTCAACCAGTGAGAATGAAGGTGCAAGCAGCTAAACTTGATTCCTGTTTTGTAAGAAAAGCAACCAAAAGTCCTACAAGCAATGAAGCCTCACAGGCAATCCAGGCCCCTTCAACCAGCGAGGCCTCACAGGCAATCCAAGCGCCTTCAACCAGAGGGCCTCACAGGCAATCCAAGCGCCTTCAACCAGTGAGGCTTCACATGCAAGCCAAGTGCTTTCAACCAGTGACGCTTCAGCAGCTGGCAGTCAAAACTGACCTTGCCTCATGAACTGTACAGTAATTTTAAGTGTTAATTTTAGTGTTGTGTTAGAATAGGTTATGTAAATTGTCAAGAATTCTTAACTTCAAGATGTGTAGCATCAATCAAGAAGACGAACTACAACAAGGTAAGTTGAGGTTCCTGGTTGAATATTTTATAATTATGTGGTAATTCAAATTATGTTGTTTGTGGTATAAAAATTGTTGGAAATGTTCACTATTAAACTTCCGCGGTGAAAAAGTATGTTAATCCGGAAAACGTGGTAATCCGGCAAGGGGTCCTTCCCACATAGTCTAGATTAGCGAGCTTCTACAGTCATTTATTTACATTAAAAACAGAATGGAAATACACGGTGTAGTATAGAAAAGCAGTTGGACTCTTTCTCATAACATTTTCTTTCGAACATAACAGAGCAAAGAGTAAAATAGTAATTTAAGGTGAATGGGGCCAACACACTATGCTAATTAAGGGACCTAGTCTATGGAACTCACTCCCTAGTGAATTGAAAAGCTGTCAAACTTTTGCCTTATATAAAAGCAAAACCAAAAAGTACCTAATTTCATCTTCTTAGTTTCCTACAATGAGCTTTAAATTTGCTCTGTACCTAGTGTTACCCAATCTCCTAATTTTTATGTATTTAACCCAAACAACCTTACCATTGTGTTCATTGCTGTCTTCTTTTATGTGCTAGCCATATACTGTATTGTGCCTACCAATTTTTGTCAACTACCATTCACGCTGTCATTACAATCAATCTGAGCTACCCATGTGCTTTAATATACCTACAATTTTCCCTCATCTTTTTTTTTTCTTGCCTTGTAACTTATCATTTTTTATAAATTTTGCAAGTATTTACCTACAAAATTTTCTTAGATTAAGGACCTGCCCGAAACGCTGCGCGTACTAGTGGCTTTATAAGATTATAATTACCATATTATGTATCCTCACAATCCCAATGTACCTTCTTGTATATGCATAAATAAATAAATAAATAAATAAATAAATAAATAAATAAATAAATAAATAAATAAATAAACTAAAAAGAAACAAGGAACATGAAAGGACATGAGTAAACACTTTAACAAGGAAATGCAATACAGTGGTATCTCAGCTTACGAATTTAATCCGTTCCCAGAGACAGCTCGTATCCTGAAAATTTGTAAATTGAAGCAAATTTCCCCATGAGAAATAATGGAAAATGAATTAATCCATTCTAGACTCCCCAAAAAGTTAACTTCAAAGTAAAATTTATACCCAATTCACCCAAATCTTGTACAAAAGTATGTACGAGTTATTACTTGCCTTTACTGATGACTCCTGTTGGTGTATGGAAGACGGTGAGGAGGGGAGGGAGGGAGGAGGAGAGGTGTTACCGTTTAGAAGGGGAGTCCCCCTTTCATTATAACATCAGACAGTGATGACTTCTCTGGGGTACACACCCTGGCACTTTTTGCCTGCATACCACTAGGACCTGCTTGTGCTCACTGCTTGATTTTCTCACTAGAAATTGTTCCATTGAAGATTGTTTTCCCTTCTTTGTAACACTTGTCTGTAGTGAGACATCACATTGTCATTACTGTAATAAGATCAATGCAACAGTCTGCTACAGCTTTATCTGGGTGAGTCTTTTCAGCAAAACTTTGCAGTTCTTCCCATACTGCACACATTTTCTTAATTAATGAGGAAGGGACCTCCTCTACTGCCTCCTCCTCCCCTGAAGATTTGTTGTACTGCCTAGCTAGTTCAACAACACGTGTACCATTTTCCTGTTTATGAATGATCTCTTGCTTTTCCTCTGTGGTCATTCTCACACGTGTTTTCTTTGCACTTTTCTTTATAGATCTAATGGAGATAGGCTAATGGAACTTGATCTCACAACCCTAGAAGATAGAAGGAACTGAGGGGATATGATCACAATCTACAAGATACTAAGAGGAATCAATAAGGTGGACAAGGATAGCCTTGTAACGTACGATTATGTTACACTGTTTAGTTAAATTAGATAAACAGAGTTTAGTGATCTTTCATATTTATTTAGTAGTCTTGGTTACAGCAGTCAGTTATTGGCAGTGTCGTAGACGTTGAGACGAAGCCTGGAGCAGAGAAGAGCCGAGTGCGGCTGGAGTCGCGGAACTCAATGTGGGACGAGTGTGGCAGCTCAATGTGAGATAGTGAGCATGGAAAATCAATGAGGCCGAGAGAGTGGAAACTCAATGAGGCCGAGAGTGTGGAAGCTCGATGGGGAATAAGAGCGTGGTAGCTCGATGCGGTTGGAGTCAGGCTGTCTGCTTCGAAGCTGAAGCGTCTTGAAGTCAGCTGGAACTGTACACACCAAGTACTACATTCTTAAGGTTGAAAGTGTGCGGTAATTATCAAGCGTCTGTACTAAAGTTAACTTAATCACTGTGGAAATTATACTGATGATTACTCGCTTCTTGATTGCTTATAATATCATACAACGCCTCACATCATTCTCTAGCAGGTTAGGGGAAGAAGTATTAATTGTAATTTGTAATCAGTGAAGAGGTATGAGTTTTTTCATTAGTGCTAATGAGAGTTGTGCTACACTCACGAAGCTAATGAGAATTTGGAGTATATTATTTACATAATATACTCTTAATATACTCTACATAATATACTCTAATTATTTACATATACTCACTACAACCTCTTCAGATTGAGAGAGAGCTGGACAAAAGAGCACAAGTGGAAGATGAAAATGCAAACAAGCTGAAGGACGTAGGAAAAATACTCGCAAGTGGAATGTTCTTACAGAGAAATTGTGTGGAAGCCACTTCCATCCACAATTTTAAGGCCAGATTTGACAAAGAATTTGAAAGTCAGAGCACTTAGGTTGAAATACCAGTCTCCGTGATGTAGTGGCAAGACACTCAATTGGCGTTCCGCGAGCACTTTGTCATGGGTTCGTATCCTGGCCGGGGAGGATTTACTGGGGCGCAAATTCTTAACTGTAGCCTCTGTTTAACTCAACAGTAAGATGGGTACTTGGTTGTAACAATGATTCTTCGCGGCGGGGATCATAATTCAGGGACCTGCCCGAAATGTTATGTGAACTAGTGGCTGTACAAGAATATAACAACTCTTGTATATACAGTATCTCAAAGTACGCAGTTTGGGGGTCATTGTAATAGGCATGGCATTTATTACCTTTCATATCGTTCCGACTATTGGATGGTGCAGGGGGCCGACCTAAAGGTCAGCAAACATCTGAATGCTCTGTAAACGCACTGCCAGATGAGTTGAGCTTGCATATAGGGAAACACGTACGCCAGCAATGCTCAAGCTCTTTCAGAAAGCCCTAGCCAAGGCGAGGGAGCGCATGACAGAGCTCAGGCAAGATAACTGGGAAACTTTTGTTAACAGTCTCAACTCTCACACCCGCTCAGCCAGGCATGGAAAGATATTAAAAGAATTAAAAGCGATAAGATTGGCCAAGTAGCACACCCTCACCCTCTACACAGAGCAAACGAGTTAGTCGATGCTTGGGCAACCACCTCTAGCTTCAATAATCTTACCCCAGACATACAGTTCAGATTAAATGCTGGTTACGGAGATCGAGAAAGGCTCGTTGACTTCATGCTCCACGAGGAAGATGAATGCAACGTGCCATTTACCGAGTTTGAATTACTCGCGGCCCTAAACAAAGGCAAAGCCACATCCCCCGGTGAAGATGGTATCACTTATGACATATTGCGTCTGCTCCCTTTAGTACCAGGGAATCCCCTGCTTGAGCTGTATATTATGAGCTATGTTACTGGGGAGCTTCCTATCTCTTGGACCAACAGTATGATCATTCCAATTCCCATGCCAAATCAAGAGAATGCTTTCCGCCCAATTTCCCTTACTAACTGCATTTGCAAAACATTCGAGAGAATGGTCCTAAACCATCTCCTCCATAGAATAAGAACCATGCTATCCCCCCAGATATATGGCTTCATGCATGGAAGGAGTGTGCATCATTGCATCACCACCTTTCTTACCCTGCACACTGAAAAGTCATATACCACCTTCCTAGATCTTAAGTCTGCCTTTTGATATTGCAAATAGACATGTTATCTTGAGTGAGCTTGCAAGAATGAATATTGGTCGTAGGCTTCTTTGTTGGATCAGGGGTTACTTATCCAACAGGCAGTCATCTGTATTTTTCCAGGGGCATAGAAGTGTAACAAGAGACTTTAAACTAGGTACCCCGCAGGGTGGTGTCCTTAGTCCTACCTTATTTAATATCTTAATAAATACGCTGTTAAACTCTATACCGAGCAAACCCAACGTCCACATCATTAGCTATGCTGATGATATAATGATACACATGACTGGGTATGCTAACATGCAGAACACTCTTAACTCTGTATTAGACTCATGTCAGGACCTAGGTTTAATTATCTCAGCAGAGAAAACAAAGCTACTAAATCGGCGCCCACCCAGGCAGGAAGAAGCTGTTCGCAAGATGCATCTGTCTGATGGCTCCCAGCTTGACTATGTAAACAGATTCAAATACCTTGGCCTTGAGGTGCCACTGTATGGTCCTGTTGTATTCAGACTCTGTCGTCAGTATAAAGAGAGGCTCCGAGCTCTCAAGGCTGTCGCAGGTTATCACTCAGGCTATGGTGCCAATGTCAGAATTGTCAAAATGATGTACCTTGCACACATCAGATCTTTAGTGGTTTATGCTGCACCTCTGCTTGTTTTGATGCCTGAAAGAAAGCTTGGAGGGCTTGAAAAATTGCAGAATGAAGCCTTGAGGATAATCCTTGGGTGCCCTTGTACCACCAAGATACTTAATACGAGAAAGGAACTTAATATTCTGAGCGTTGTTGATCGTGTTACTGAAATTAACTGTCAAATTGGTATACAAATGCTTAGGCTAACTCATCCTAATCCTTGCACAGACGCCCTCCAGAATTTCTTTAATGAAGATCAGCATTGTTCCAAATGGATAACAAAAAATGGAACTCAACTCAGAATGTATCAGGTTCATGATTTGTACCAAGAGAAACAACAACGGCACTTTCCTGCACTAGAAGTTGAAGGGACGACGACGTTTCAGTCCGTCCTGGACCATTCTCAAGTCGATTGAGAATGGTCCAGGACGGACCGAAACGTCGTCGTCCCTTTAACTTCTAGTGTGTGGTCTGGTCAACATACTTCAGCCACGTTATTGTGACTCATCGCCTGCACTTTCCTGCACCGTGGGAGTTTACACCCTTTCCAGTTTTAATCCCTCCTTTCCACCCAAGAAGCAAATTAGAGATCAGCCCAAGCTTCGTCTTGAGGCAAACCTCAACGCCTTAAGCCATATTGATGCTCTGTCCACAGAACATTCTCTCTCTCAAATCATATACACTGATGGTTCCCTACACCGCACCACGGGTGCAGCTGGAAGTGCAGTTGTTCTGACAATGGGCGATGGCTTGTACTTTGAGTGGGGAGTCCGTATAAACAACTGGGCCTCTACCCTTCAGACCGAACTATTTGCCTTGATCCTTGCACTGAAATGTGTACAAGTCTCCAAACTTGATACATTAATTGTAAGTAACTCCTTATCATCCTTAAATGCTCTCAACTCATTAAGACATAACTGTAACATGCTCATGTCCGAAGCTAGACACACATACAACAAAATTATTAAGGATGGTAACAGAGTCCATTTCATGTGATCTCCATCTCATGTTGGCCTCCGAATGCATGATAGAGCTGATAAGTTAGCCAAAGAATCTGCCTTTAAAGGAGCCGTTGAGTGTAACCTTGGATTGTCAATGAGCAAACTGAGAGCAGCAGTACACCGAGAACTTCAACAAGATCTTGTAGATCCGAGGCAAAGTGAAATTGACACCAGTAATTCCATCTATCATCATACTATCATGCAAGAGGAGCCACACATCTATGGATCATCCAATAAAATCAGCAGACTTCTAGATGTTACTACTGCTCGGCTTAGACTCGGTTACAAGTATCTCTGGGAATTCTCATTATCTGCTGATGTAGACCTGACCAAATGTAAACTGTGTCAACAAAATTATTCGCACACCCTCCGTCACTATGTGATGGAGTGCGAAAAGATACGTGAATTTAGAGACAATTCTATAACCAATGTTCCAGCGATGTGTAAATATTTCATTCAAAATGATCTGCTACTAGAAATTTTAGCCAAATATCCCCAGTTTGCTAACTGTAGGTAGTAACCGAGTGATTGTAACCTATCTACCGCTGCCCACTGGATGGGGGGCGGTGTGCAGGACAGACATATCAATTTTGACACTAGCTCTCCACATATGTCAGTTGCTTAATTTAGAACCTGTACTTGAGGTCGATCTCGAACCCATTGTTGATGTGACGACATATTGAATTTTGTAACTAGCTCATCAAGATTGTACCTTGCTTAGCTAAATGAATTGTGGGGTTCAGTCCCTGAGCCCATTATGTGCCTCTGTAACCCTTTCCACTACCGCCCACAAGATGGGTATGGGGTGCATAATAAATGAAATAAACTAAAAAAAAAACTATAGTATCTCAAAAAAAAAATGCAACAGATACAAGGCAAGTAGGCTGGGCATAAAGAGCTAGAACTCACTGTTGACACTAATAGGTAAATACTGTTGAGTGCCTGACCTCACAGACAGCCTATCTCTTGGCTGCAGTGACCTTGCCATGTCTTAGCATGTTCTTGACTCACAATCAAGTATTCATCGAATATGAATACTTGATTGAATCAAGTATTTGAATCCAGGGCAGGACAGAAATAGTTAGGTGCATTTCCCATCACCTAATACACCTGTTCACCTAGCAGTAAGTAGGCACCAAGGGTTAGCTTGTTGTGGGGGTTGCATCCTCTGGGGGTCAGTAATTCGACCATGGGGGATGACCACGATGTAGGCCTGACATGAACATATACATTGGCTGCCTGTCCCCCGCCACAATGAATTACTATTAATTATAATGTGAAATGTAACTGAAATTTAACCGCTATAACCGCCGTATGCTACCCCAAGATGTGATTTTACATTTGGTTCACATATCACTAAAAAAACTGTAATTAAACTCGCCCAGACAGATGAATAAGACCTTCTTTCCTCCGTCAGTGTGAGCCATGGTTGACGCCAACTTCGGTAACTTGGGACAAATAACGAAGACCTTCCCACAACAGCTGTCGCCGGCTGGAGACTTGTTTACCCTCTGGCGGTCCCTCTAATTGTTCCGAACCATAATGGAAACTGACCCAAGTATAGGATGGGTTAGCCCAAGTATCGCGTTTTCAAAAGGGTCGCCCGTGTTTGAAAAGAAGAACGCTGAAAGAATATTGTTGAAAACATCTTGATAACTGATTAAACCAAAATTATTTATTAGTCAGAAGAAAGACAAAAACGCGATCTATATGTAAAACCTCTACCAGACAAATATTTTAAGTAAAACCGAAGATATTTGTAGTTGTATAAAAGTGGCAGTTTTCATCGCTCGTCGAGCTCGAAAACCGCAGCATTCATCTCAGAACCATGCCTATTTCACGCAAATTCCTTAATAAACGTAAGAGTTTTATATGTCACAAGAAAGACAGATATATAAGCTTCGTTCTAAATACCTTACCATGGGCATATTTAAATTTAAAGCGAAGATACGTGTACTTTTATAATAGCCGAGCTCCGACTCCGGACAGATCGATCGACGGAGCAACTCTCTCTCAGAACAATGCCTATTCATTTCGCTGGCCAGGCCTTGGACTGAGAGGATGTGCGCGCCTCCTCTCAGATTCAGATTCAGATTCAGATGTTTATTCAGGTAAGGTATATACATACAAGTGATGTTACATTAATCTCCCTCTTTGGGTCAAGTCCCTCGCCCCCAACCTTGTGCTGTGATAGCCAGGGCGGTATCGTCACAATACTACTGTGCTGCTAAGTGTTTCAACACTGTTGCATAAGTCACTAGTATCAAGGGAACCCTAGAGTGAACTAGTGAGTGGCGCCTGAGGTCGAAGGCAGGCCAGCCTGCCCCCTCCGCTCCCTTAGGGGCAGCCTACCAAACATTAGTTTGATGCAGCATTGCTGGTGCTAATAACACAGCATCACCTGTACAGTGTACCTGGGACTCACTGTAAGACTCTAGCAAGAACCACAGGGCATCTACAGCGTCAGGCAACAAACAGCAAGGAGAGTTGTGGGATCGTAATCTGTCCCCCACGGACCTCTGACCCTTGCGGTTAGAGCGCTGACCCAACGGTCCCCCCTATCCCTTCCCTGGCGGGAGGTTAATTGACACCCGCCAACACTACAATGATGCCAGCTTTGTACAGAGCACCTGTACACTCCTAGTTATAAGACTTATCTTCCCCACTTTCTCTTATTCTTCTCATTTCGCCATTTCAACAGGTCAAGTGGAACGGTCCAGTGGCCCATGCGGTTACCTGTAAAATCTGGGGGGCCACTTGACTTGGGCATCTGTTCACCCTTGTAGCAGGGTTAGGCTGTCTTAGGGGACATTCTGTCCACACATAGGAGAATAAGTCACTGAGGGCTGCCCTCTGCGAGTCCCAACCAACCAAGTGGAATATCCAAGTGTTTATCCAAGTGGTCTGAGCACTCTCAAACCCACTGAGAGTGCTCTTCCCCTCAGAGCAGGTTTATGACTGTTGGCGCTGATGACTGGTAAGGCTTGCTGCCTGCCCTGCCATTTGTCATGTTATTCATCAGCACATGGTTATAAATGGTATTAACCAGGTATCGGACGAGGTTAGAGCAACAATTAATGCCGCCTGAAGAAGCAGGTATGGAGGAGGTAGCTGCTGGACCCTCAGGGCTCTCCCCTACCATGACCAGTGACACTGTCACCCCACCACCCAGTGATGGGTTTGTGGAGGTGCTAAGTAAGAGTCAGAGAAGGAAACAAGGGAAACAGAAGATGGTGAACAACAGGGTGGAAGGCGTCCGATATAGCACCAAGGAGCGAGTACACACGTCTGACCTTCCCTAAAGGCACGAGTGTGGCGGACAGGATTGTATGGAGTAAGAAACTGAGCGAGGTGTACCCACCTGGCTCTGCAGGCGTGCTTCGTCCACATGTCAACTCTCCATATGTGTATGTTTCAAGAGAGAAGCAGCAGGTTGTGGAGGCTCTTCTACAAGGGAAAATAGGTGATGTAAAGCTCTCCCCTCTAGATAATCCAACACGGAACAAGAAGATGGATGAATACCTAGTCTACAGGTACAGTCACAAGTATCCACTAGAGTGGGCCTATGAATTAGACGGGGTACACAGAGCACGAAGATTGACCAAGAATGGTAAGCCTACTGATCAAATAATCATAGTCTGGAAAAAGCCTGATCCGCCACCTGACCAGTATTGGTTTGGTGGGTTGTATGCGCCCCCCAGCACGTTCAGGGTGTGGGAACCGAACCCTGTGGAGTGTTACGAGTGCTGTGGCAGTGGCCACATAGCTAAGCACTGCTGGTGCCCCACACCCAAGTGTGCTCTCTGTTCCGGTCCTCATCCACTGAAGGACTGTCAGTATAAGAAGACCAGAGACCAAAGAAAGCAGGAACAGGAGCAACAGAACACTGCAACAGAAGCAGGGCAACATCCTGAATCTGTGGCTCCGTCTAAACCGCCGCTGAAGTGTTTCAGATGTGGTATGGAGGGAGTCACCATCTGGCACTCAGATTGTACCAAACGGCCAGCCTCCCTTGGCACAAGGAGGCAAGTGCCCGAGACACAACAAGTGTCTACTGATGCCGGCTCTAGTACTGTTGACCCATCCCATAGTGGTGACAGTACCAGCAACGCCCCTGACAACACACAACAGCCTGATACAACAGTTAAAGAACAGTTGGCAACCTTGCAAGCACAGGTAGCTGAACTGACTGAAATTATACAGGCGCTACGTCAGGCTCCTTCACAAGAGATACAGCAGCCTCTATGCAGCTGTGTCACAGCCGTGGCCCGCGCTGGTAAAGGTTCCTGTGGTGGTGGTGGCGGCGGCGGCGGCAGCAGCAGCAGCGGCGGCGGCGGCGGCGGCGGCGGCGGCGGCGGCGGCAGCAGCAGCAGCAGCAGCAGCAGCAGCAGCAGCAGCAGCAGCGGCGGCGGCGGCAGCGGCGGCGGCGGCGGCGGCAGCAGCAGCAGCAGCAGCAGCAGCGGCGGCAGCAGCAGCGGCGGCAGCGGCGACAGCAGCGGCGACAACGGAGGCGGTGGCAGCGACGTCGTCAGTCAACTCAGGGATGACAACAGTGATAGTGACACAGAAACATTAACTGAAAAAGGAAGTCGACCTGCATCAGAATATTTTAAAATGATTCATGACCTTAAGGAACGCGCTCAAGCCAAGTACGAGAATGAAAAGGATAATATTCTGCGTGACAGTAATTATGCCATACGACTTACAGAGAGCATTCACTCGCGGACCATCCCGAGTTCCTCAGTGATCAAGAATCTAATGATGTCACCAGATGTTCCTGACGACACCAAACGCCAGGTTGGTGTGGCTCTTTACGTAGTACAGTCACTTATTGACGCATTGTGTAAGTGGGACGAGGACAACAATGGGACCACCAGTCCCAGGGAGGAACAACACCAAGACGATGGCTGCTGTTGACACAAGAACCATTAGGTTTCTCAGTTGGAACATTCGTAGCATCAACAAAAGACTGAATGACCTAATTGCATATGTTACCTGTAACAACATAGATATAATTGCTTTACAGGAGCCCTACACGTCCAACATGATAAACAAAACCCCACCAAAGATCAGAGGGTATGCATCCTATAATAACAGTAACGCCACAGGCCTATTAACTTACGTCAGAAGTGATTTACCGCACATTCTTGTGAGCACGTCACACAATGTACACACACAGTACCATCACTTTCATGTACAAACTACAGCAGGCCACTTTTCATTCCTCAACGTATATGCCAGAAGCCAGAAACTCAATGTAACATTGTTCCCAGATCTAGACAATCATGGGACAATATACATGGGAGATTTTAATGCTAGACATATTACGCTGGGAGACAGTACTAACAACGATAATGGATGCAAATTTATCAAATATGTTTATGACAACAGATTAACCGTGTATACTACGGATACCCAAACTCATTTATTGGGAGGCAGACTTGATTATGTAATGGGTAGAAACCTTGTGCAAGATAGGATGGAATGTTCGTTGGTAAATCACTTAGTTAGTGATCACTATGCAGTTTCTGCTTCCTATGAGGTACAGTGTGATGTACCTAATAGACATCAGAGACGGAAAATGAATATTCCATATGGCTTGCATGACCACTTTATTAATTGTATATCAAAATGGTATCAAGATTACACAATAACGAATGTACAAGCCTTCTCCAGAGATCTCGTTGATACGATTACTACCTACTACGACACATGGGTGTGTTGGGGAACAGGTCGTAAGCCTAGCAGAAGTGGGCAACACCTGCCACCACCCAAGTGGGTCCTTGACCCCGTATTTGTTAAAGAACATGAACGAGTAAAGCAACTTGGAGATACGTACAAACGAACCAAAGCACAAGGTGACCTGCATGCATTTCTAGTTGCAAATAGAGAGGTGAGAGACATGAGCAACGTCATACGTAATAAACATTGGGAAGAGTTCCTACAAAGTATAAATGAGCAAACAACACTTGTTGAAGTTTGGGAAAAGATACGAAAAATCTCTAGAAGCAGCCCAACCAAACCGCTGCACCACAGCCCACTAGAACAAGCAAACATCCTCCTTGATCAATGGGCAATAACATCGAGCTACGACTCACTCCCAATTAACATACAGCACAAACTTGATGACACACGCCCCAACAGACAACGAACCATCAATCTTGCCTGTACAGCTATCGACGTGTCGGACCTTAATGATGTAACTGAATGGGAATTAAATCATGCACTAAAGATGGGAAAATCAACTGCTCCTGGAGAGGATGGTATTACTTACAGTCTACTGAGATTAGTCTCACACGTACCAGGTAATCCACTATTAGTGTTGTACAGAATGAGTTTACGTGAAGGAGTATTACCTGATGCTTGGACAAAGAGTGTCATTGTTCCCATCCCCAAACCACACTCAGATAATTATAGACCCATATCTTTAACATCGTGTGTTTGTAAAGTGCTTGAACGTATTGTTCTTAACCGACTCATGTATCGTATACAGGGGCACCTGTCACCCCAACTGTTTGGATTTATGCCTGGGCTCAGTACACA